TTGTTTACACCATAATCAACCGAGCATATCCAGTCTCAAAACAACTAGCACCAAGGCAGACACGCCTTCTCTCTTGCCGAAGGAAGACACTCTTCCGAGGTGCCAAGCACCTGCCGAAACTCCCGACTGCCCCAGCTCACCAACTGTTAAACCTAATTCTCATGACACGTGTCACCACCGCGGCAACTTGCACAGAGTCCCACATCGGAAATCTACACCAACCTCCCACTTTCACTTCCCTATAAAAAGGGAACAGTACCCTAGTAAGAGGGGTAATTACTTTCCTGCCTTTTACTATTACTCTGCAAAAGTTACCCTTCTTAGCTGACTTAAGCATCGGAGAGCCTTCGGCCGGCACCACACCGGTGCCCGGAGCTTGACGACTGCTTCCCCTATTTTTGTCTTCTGCAGGCTAGCCTTTATTGAAGGCCCAGACCCTTTCCCTGCTGAAGGCAAATCCCTTTTTCTCTAAGTTGACCCTCTCCGAAAAAGAGCATCAACAAAAGTGATCCATGATTTGGATTGGAAAACGGATCACACATTAGAGTATTTTCATAATATTTTTTAATTCTCATATAAGATCAAAGTAGTATGAAGCAATTAGATTGGATTGAATTTTCGAGACTCTAAGATTCAATTCAATTCACCAAATCGAATCAAAATTGAATTAGATCTGTTTAAGCCAATTGAATTTGGATTATAAACACCCCTTAGTTTGGAAGACAAAATCATAATAGATGGAGTTTATATCTCATTGTTTTATTATAAGCCGGTCATTTTAGTCTTTAGATATATTAATTGAAAATCCCCGAGTTTAATGATATCTTAGAAGAAATTTTTCTTTAAAAAAAGTACATATGATGTAGACACCGGTGTAGGACAGACTCATAAAGTTTTGATTTGAGGCGCACAAAAGTTGAAAAAGGACCATATGCAGCCCACGCTAAAAATGAGTCATGGAATTCATTCAAGTGCATTGACAGATCATCCCACAATATTATAAATCCAGTTACTGCTCCTCACGTCTTGAATTTGTCCTCAGATACCCACAAAGGTTGCAGAATCTTAATCCAAATGGTTGTAAAATATAGTTAAAGATTCCAAAAACATCAATCATTTGATGTGCAGAAAACAAAGAGCTAGAACATAAAATAACATTATTTTTTTTATTTTTTTTTTCATGTATGGAGAGGTTGTAATGATCGGAATTGTCTGGTTGTTAGGTTATTTTTAAGTATTATTCATGCGAAAAATTACTTAAATCGGAAATTGTTTATCCATTTGATCATCCGGATAATTTTGACATTGTCAACATAAAATATATCTCAACTTCTTAAAGGGTAGTTGACCCACCACCAACATATATTGCCTAACTCCCAACGCGAAACTAACAAATTGTGAATTTAATGAGTAGTTGTCTTGTTCTTTTGTTAATGTCATGCAACTGATGAAAAGAAAAAAGTTGAAAAGGAATATGCTATTACAGGCACATAGTGACAAGGACCTCTTTGAAAGCATAGTTTTCAGGACTCTGCATACATATGAAAACCTTTTTCCGTGGGATTTTCCAAATACACAAATCCTAAGGAAAAAGTGTTCACATGTGCAGCAACATATAGTTCAATCTTCAAATCCAACATCCCCACCTCTATTTTCTCTCTCTTTATGCAGCTGTTAAACTTCTCATGGAATTTGACAGTGGTCATAATCTCAAGTCCCTGATGCTTCTATAAAAATTACTGTTTTTGAACTTCTAACAGGACTTGAAGAAACGGATTTGGTTCTCCTAGAAAATTTAGTGATCAGATGAGCAATGCTGGGGGAAATCTGTCTGGGAACATCTTCCTCAGCCTCATTATCATCTCAATCAAAGTAACGAAAAGAGGAACTTGTGCTCACCTTTATTTCAGAGCTCCATTTCTGACTGCATGGTTCTTTTCAAGGCAGTTACCATTTGCAGGTGAGAGTTCATTTGCTGAAGAATCATCATCATAAGTAATATATGTGACCGAGGTTTTGGTGGACCCCTCCTTGTATAGTTTTGTGATCCCTTTCTCATTGTATGGCTCTTGAACAAGAGTACTGGAAACGAAACAAGTTGTCTGTCGGAGATCATGGAGATTGGTCGAACTTAGTATAGCCGAGCGGCTATACCAAGGTTTTTCCCAAAACAATTAGTGCCTATACTGAGGGTTTTTTTTTTTTTTTTTTCCAAAACTCGGGTTTTGAAATTTCTTTTCCAACAATGGTATAGCAAAGCGGCTATACTCTCACCAGGCCGGCCTTTTTTTTGTTTTATAAATAGTATAGCCGAACGGCTATACCCGGTTTACCAAAAAATTCCAAGAAATAGTACAGCCGGACGGCGGTACCTTGTTTTTAAATTTCTTTTCCAAAAATGGGCGGCTATACCTTTCTTGACACCCGTGACTTTTTTTGTTTTATAAATAGTATAGCCGGGCGGCTATACTAGGATGCCAGAAGTTTTCCCAAAAAACGTATAGCCGGGCGGCTATAACCGGTTGCCAAATTTTTTTCCAAAAATAGTATAGCCGATCGGCTCTACCATATAGTATACCCTTTATTCAAATGAAGAGCTTAATTGCGAAATGGAGTTAAATTGTACTTCATCACACTTTTGTTCAGAGCTCCAAGCCTATACTATTTCTTTTATAATAAAAAATTTGAAAAACCGTGCATAGCCGAACGGCTATACTATTTCTTGCTAAAAAAAAAGAAAACCCGAATACAGCAGACCGCTTATACTATTTCTTCTAAAAAACTGTAAATTTTTAAAAATTCGAGTATAGCCGAACGGCTGGACTATTTCTTCGTTAAAAAATTCTAAAAACCGTGTTTAGCAGTCCGGCAATACTATTTCTTTTTTTAAAAAAAATTCTAAAAATCGAGTATAGCCATTCGGCGGTACTATTACATTTTTAAAATTCTTGTCCCTTGTAGTCCTCCTCCACATCAAGTATTTTGAGGGCCTTCTAAGACATTTTGTTACCAAAATTTATTGAATGAGAACGAAGGGAAGAACTAGAATTACCTTCCCAATCATCACTACAAAAGGTTGACTCAGATCGAAAAGAAGACATGCATGATTTATTTTCAGATCTTATATCTCCGAAACCAGCTTGCAAGTCACTCTTACACATCACCTCAGATTTACTGGACTGTTTCTTCATACTCGCGTCACCTAAAAAGTTAAACTTCTTAGGTTCAGATGACTTCTTTTGAGGATATCAATCTGCCATTCGGAAACTATTCGCCGAAAATGGAAGTTCGACTGGTTCTTGAGGAGGCTGACAGGCAAATTTTGTCATGTGAGTTTGATTAACACGTGTACAAGATGTATCACATGACCGTACTATCGTAATATTCTATAATCACTCATATTCGTGGATTCCAAATCGTTAAAATTCAACAAATATACATCCACCAAGTTAGATTAGATTGCTGATTTTCAATTCAATCCAATTCGATCAAAGTTAGGATTCATGATATTGGATTGGAAAACGGATCACACATTAGAGAATTTCATAATATTTTTCATTTATCATGTAAGATCAAAGTAGTATGAAGTAATTAGATTGGATTGAATTTTCGAGATTTTAAGATTCAATTCAATTCACCAAATCGTTGAAACCAATCAAAATTGAATTAGATCGGTTTAAGCGAATTGAATTTGGATTATAAACACCCCTTAGTTTTGGAAGACAAAATCATAATAGATGGAATTGATATCTCATGCTTTTGTTTTAAGCCTGTCATTTTAGTCTTTAGATATATTAATTGAAAATCCCTGAATTTAATGATATCTTAGATGAATTTTTTATTATAAAAAAAGTACATAGGATGTAGGCACCGGTGTAGGACAAGCTTTACAAACCATAAAGTTTTGATTTGAGGAGCACAAAAGTTGAAAATGGAAGAAAATAAGGTGACATATGTAGCCAAGGCTAAATATAAGTCATGGAATTCATTCATGTGCATCGACAGATCATCCCCCAATATTATAAATCCAGTTACTACTGCTCACGTCTTGAATTTGTCCTCAAATACTCACAAAGGTTGCAGAATCTTAATCCAAATGGTTGTAAAATATAGTTAAAAGATTCCAAAAACATCAATCATTTGATGTGCAGAAAACAAAGAGCTAGAACATAAAATAACATAATTTTTTTTTTCATGTATGGAGAGGTTGTAATGATCGGAATTGTCTGGTTTTTAGGTTATTTTTAAGTATTGTTCATGCGAAAAATTAGTTAAATCGGAAATTGTTTATCCATTTGATTATCCGGATAATTTTGACATCGTCAGCATAAAATACATCTCAACTTCTTAAAGGTGGCTATACCTTTTTTGACACGCAGGCTCTTTACCTCAGGCTGGGGACTCTTATTTTTTGTTTTATAAACCGTACCGCCGCGCGGCTATACTCGGTTTTCAAAAAACTTCCAAACAATAGTATAGCCGAACGGCTATACCAGATTTTCAAAAATAGTATAGCCGTCCGGCTATACGCTGTTTGCAAAAGTTTTTTCCCTGTACTATTTTTGACACGCGGGTTCCGAATCGGCAGGTGGGTGGGCGACTCTTTTTTTTTGGGTTTTATAAATATTATAGCCGTGCGGCTATACGCGGTTTCCAAAAATGGTATAGCCGGCTGTACTCTGTTTTAAAATTTTCTTTTCCAAAAATAGTTTAGCCGTTTGGCTATACCGTTTCTGACACGCGGGCCCCTTATCTCAGGTTGGCGACTTTTATTTTTTGTTTTATAAATAGTATAGCCGGCTATACACGGTTTTCAAAAATTATCCAAAAAATAGTATAACCGGGCGGCGATACCCGGTTTTAAAAGTTTTTTGCAAAAATAGTCTAGCCGACCGGCTATACGCTGTTTTCAAATTTTTTTCTCTGTACTAATTTTGAAAGGCGGGCTCCAAATCGCCAGGCGGGTTTTATAAATAGTATAGCCTTTTTTTGGGTTTTATAAATAGTATAGCCGCGCGGCGATACTCGGTTTATTTATTTCCAAAAATAGTGGAGCGGTCCAGCTATACTATTTAGTATCCCCTTCGTTCAATTGAAGAGCTTAATTGCGAAATGGACTCAAATTGTACTTCATCATTCCTTTGTTCAGAGGTCCAAGAGAATTGAGGATGAATTTCCACCTGGAGAAGAAAATTTTAAACTAAATTCTTGTCCCTTGTAGTCCTCCTCCACATCAAATTCACAGTTGTCGTCATCTGAACTGAACCAGTCATCAAAAATCACAGCTGCATTTCCATAAGAATTCATTCCCTCTGTGCTTTGATGGATCTTACCATCACCAAGTCCGAAATAAGAAATAAGATCATTCCCTCTCAAAACATCTGGATGATCATAACTTGCATATATCACCTCAGGTTTACAGGACTCTCTTAATACTCAGTTCACCTAATAAGTCAATCTTTTCAGGTTCAGATGACTTCTTTTGAGGATAATGATCTGCCATTTGGGGAGTATAAGTAATATGCTCATTCCATCTCGAATTACCTTCCCAATGATCACTACAAAAGGTTGACTCAGATCGAAAAGAAGACATGCAAGATTTATTTTCAGATCTTTTATCTCCAAAACCAGCTTGCAAGTCACTCTTATACATCACCTCAGATTTACTGGACTGTTTCTTCATACTCACGTCACCTAAAAAGTCAAGCTTCTCAGGTTCAGATGACTTCTTTTGAGGATAACGATCTGCCATTTGGAAACTATTCGCCGAAATGGAAGTTGTACTGGTTCTCAAGGAGGCTGACCAGCAAATTTTGTCATGTGATTTTGATGAGCATTGCTGTGAAAGCTCTGCAGCTGCTCTGACAGCTATGCTTACCATTTCTGCTGAATCAACAGCAGCCTCTGCTGCAGTGGTAGCATTCTCGAATTGCCTGTTCCAATTCTTCCTACCGGAAGAAAAATCATTTCCATCCCGAGGAAATAAATGCCTGTCTTCCATCCGATCAGTTTCATTTCCTGATTGCAAATGTCCAATTAAGTATCAAACAAGTGATAAATTCAAAACACCACCACTACATACAAAAACTCAATAAATCACCATTGCGCTGACTATTGATGTACCTGAAGACCCCACTTCTGGATAAAATCTGCAAGATCTGGTTTCTCCGTTGCCAGAAACATTTATAGAAGCAGAATGTTGGAAGCAAGGTAATGATAGTGCATGCTGCTTATTATAGTTTACGGATACCTCATGATTCTCATAATGTGTGGGTGGGCTGTCATCATAATTAGGCGGAGCTGAGCTATGAGGAGCTTCCACTTGAATTGTACTAGCAATGCCAAAGGTATTTGGCCCATTCTGCTCCGATATTTAAAATTAATGGACAGACATGTCTTGAACAATGCAATGTAAAGTATAACCAAGATGAAGTTGAAGTTTTATGTTATTTATGCAATTGCAAGTAATAAATCAACCACCTACAGCTGAACCAGTCTTTTCCTTTTTCTTTTTGGAAACAGAATTTATTAATATCTTATAAGCATGCTATGTTGTGGATTAGAAGTCCACACAAAACAATATACAGCCAACACTCCTCTACCCTATTTCGTACCCCAACACCTTATGTTTCTCACAAGAATTGATATGCAAGCTTGTGGAATAACCCTGCTCACTTCTGCTTCCTTAAACAAACTCATCCACAAATCTAAAGCAATGGTACCTATAGCTGAGCCAATCTTACCAGCAGGGCCTCAAGAGACTTGGACTCATTCTCTCCATATGAATCAGGATCCCCCACTTGATGTTATGTTCATCTGCAATTGCAGACAATATTTTTTTAGTAGGGCCATCAGGTGGTCCGGCAGATAATTTCCCAACTACCTGAAAGGAAAACATACAAAATAATTAATACAACTATCATACGAGTTTTGACAGAGTACATCCTACCATCTCCAATTTGTCCAATTTTGGTTTCCATATAATACATAACCAAAGAAATAACACAAGGTATATAAACATACCATAGGATGTACACACCACAATCTAGGCGCACTTCAACAGCTGCAGAGACAAACTCCTTTCCATATTTAGTTGTGAAATGCTTGCGAACGCAAATGAGTTCTGGTATTTCTGCTGCACATCTTCGAGATGCAAATACTACACTTGAAATTGCTCCCTTTAAGTCAACTGGGCAATCTCTGTGGAAACATTAAATAGGTCAACACGATACAAGATCTTTTAAAGAAGAAACTGAAAAAGTGAAAAAGTAAAACAAGATCACTTGTTGCACGATTGTATAAAGAATATAGAAAATTAACTAGGATATAAATCACACATAAAAACTTAAGCTACATGGAAGACTTTTGGTGCCCTTGAACCCACAAAAGCATGCAAGACTTTTTAGGTTATTTTTAAGCATTATTCATGCGAAAAATTAGTTAAATCGGAAATTGTTTAGTCATTTGATTATCTGGATAATTTTGACATCCTTTACATAAAATATATCTCAACTTCTTAAAGGGTAGTTGACCCACCACCAACATAAATTGCCTAACTTCCAACGCGAAACTAACAAATTGTGAATTTCATGAGCAGTTGTCTTGTTCTTTTTTTAATGTCATGCAACTGATGAAAAGAAAAAAGTTGAAAAGGAATATGCTATCTTACAGGCACATAGTGACAAGGACCCACTTCGAAAACATAGTTTTCAGGACTCTGCTTATGAAAGCCTTTTCCTTAGGATTTTCCAAATACACAAATCCTAAGGAAAAGGTGTTCACATGTTCAGCAATATATAATTCAACCTTCAAATCCAACATCCCCACCTTTAGTTTCTTCTCTCTTTATGCAGCTGTTAAACTTCTCATGGAATTGGACATTGGTCATAATCTCAAGTCCCTAATGCTTCTGGAAAAGTTATTGTTACTGAGCTTCAACTTCTAACAGGATTTGAAGAAACGGATTTGGTTCTCCTAGAAAATTTAGTGATCAGATGAGCAATGCTGGGGGAAATCTGTCTGGGAACATCTTCCTCAGCCTCATTATCATCTCAATCAAAGTAACGAAAAGAGGAACTTGTGCTCACCTTTATTTCAGAGCTCCATTTCTGACTGCATGGTTCTTTTTCAAGGCAGTTACCATTTGCAGGTGAGAGTTCATTTGCTGAAGAATCATCATCATAAGTAATATATGTGACCGAGGTTTTGGTGGACCCCTCCTTGTATAGTTTTGTGATCCCTTTCTCATTGTATGGCTCTTGAGCAAGAGTACTGGAAACGAAACAAGTTATGTCTGCTGGAGATGATAGAGATTGCTCGAACTTAGTATAACCGCCGGCTATACTTTTTCTGACACGCGGGCGCTTTTTTCCCCCTAAATCGTATAGCCGCGCGGCTATACCCGGTTTGCTAGAACTTTCAAGCATAGTATAGCCGAACGGCTATACTTCCTTTTTTCCAAAACGTATAGCCGCGCGGCTATAATATTTTTTAAATTTCTTCTCAAAAGCCGCGCGGCTTTACTTACTTTTTTTGTTTTATAAATAGTATAGCCGCCCGGCTATACATGGCTTACGGGTTTTGACACGCGGGCTTCTAATCGCCATGTGGGCGTCTCTTTTTTTAATTTTTTTAATGTTTTTTATACCGCTATAATTTTACTTCATCACTCCTTTGTTCAGAGCTCCAAGAACTTAAATTATCCAAAGGAACTGAAGATGAATTTCCACCGGGAGAAGAAAATTTTAAACTAAATTCTTGTCCCTTGTAGTCCTCCTCCACACCAAATTCACAGTTATCGTCATCTGAACTGAACCAGTCATCAAAATTCACGGCTGCATTTCCATAAGAATTCATTCCCTCTGTGCTTTGATGGATCTTACCATCACCAAATCTAAAGCCATGGTACCTATATCTGAGCCAATCTTACCAGCAGGGCCTCAAGAGACTTGAACCCACAAAAGCATGCAAGACTTTTTGTTGGTGTTGCATCAAACCTGTACCGTAGGGCCACATAGCTCCAAAATTAAAGTCCTATAGTCCTCTATCTGTTCTCAAACTTTACAAAGCATTGTCATATTGGCATTCACTAACTGAAGAAAGAACTAGGTAGACTGAACAAGCTAGCAAAATATACGAACTCCGGATCATGTACTTACATTAATGGCAGAATATTGCAAAAGTTTGACAAAAAAGTACAAGCATGAACAGAAAATGTCAAGACGTTCAAGAATTAATGGGTTTACATACTTTTGTAAAGCAATGATAGGCATGGAGTCTGTAATAAGTTTGCAATACATCTCAATAAGATCATATGCATCCCTCGTATTCTCTTCCCTGAGCAGATGTTCGACCTGAGATTCACAATATCATTCCCCAAACAAAACAAAACAAAAAGTATATGTTATCACACTGGAAATGTCAACACAGAAGACCACATCACTGAATTAGGATAACAGTCCGGCTATACTCAGCTATACTATTTCTTTTTTAAAAATATTGGATAAATCCCGCACGGCCATACTTTTTCTTTAAAAAAGAGTCTGATAGCCGCGTGACTATACTATTTCTTTTTTTAAAAAGTTGAAAAATCCTTGCATAGCGGACGGTTATACTATTTCTTTTTTAAAAAATTAGGAAAAATCCTTGTATAGCGGACGGTTATACTATTTCTCATGATGTGTGGGTGGACTGTCATCATAATTAGGCGGAGCTGAGCTATGAGGAGCTTCCACTTGAATTGTACTAGCAATGCCTGCTCCGATATTTAAAATTAATCAACAGACATGTCTTGAACAATGCAATGTCAGTATAACCAAGATGAAGTTGAAGTTTTATGTTATTTATGCAATTACAAGCAAGTAATAAATCAACCGCCTACAGCTGAACCAATCTTTTCTTTTTTCTTTCTGGAAAAAGAATTTATTAATATCTTATAAGCATGCTATGTTGTTGTGGATTAGTATAGCCGCTCGGCTATACCACGGCTTTTCCCAAAAAATAGTATAGCCGCGCGGCTATACTATTTTTACACCAGGCAGGCGACTCTTTTTTTAAAAGTAAATAGTATAGCCGACCGGCTATACCTCTTTTGACACGTGGCCTCCTCATAGCCAGCGGCGACTTTTTTTATTTGTTATAGTATAGCCGTTCGGCTATACTTGGTCTTTAAAATATTTTACCAAAAATACACGTGGGCTCCCAAAAATACTATTTCCCCTCTGTTGAAATGAAGAGCTTAATTGCGAAATGGACTTAAATTGTACTTCATTACTCTTTTGTTCAGATCTCCAAGCATTTAAATTATCCAAAGAAATTGAATTTCCAACGGGTGAAGAAAATTTTATACTAAATTCTTGTCCCTTGTAGTTCTTGTCATCTGAACCGAACCCGAGTCATCAAAAATCACAGCTGCATTTCCATAAGAATTCTTTCCCTCTGTGCTTTGATGGATCTTATCATCACCAAAGCTAAAGCAATGGTACCTATAGCTGAGCCAATCTTACCAGCAGGGCCTCAGGAGACTTGGACTCATTCTCTCCATATGAATCAGGATCCCACTTGATGTTATGTTCATCGGCAGTTGCAGACAATATTTTTACCTTAGTTGGGCCTAAACCCTTCATCTGAAAGGAAAACATACAAAATAATTAGTACATCCTGCCATCTCCAATTTGCCCAATTTTGGTTTCTATATTATACATAACCAAAGAAATAACACGAGGTATATAAGCATACCATAGGATGTACCCCACAATCTGCCGCACATCATCGAGATGCAAATATTACACTTGAAATTGCAACTGGGTAATCTCTGTGGAAATGTTAAATAGGTCAACGCAATACAAGCTCTTTTAAAAACAATTAGATAAAACAGAGTACAGTGGATCGGAAAAAATTTAGTTTAGCGCGGCTATACTATTTCGTTTTAAAAATTTGGAAAAATTGAGTATTGCCGTTCGGCTATACTATTTGTTTTAAAAAAATTAAAAAAAAAACAAGTACAGCCGAGCGGTTATACCATTTCTTTTAAAAAATTGTAAAAAAGGCGTATACGTTGGGCTATACCATTTCAAATTTAAAAAATTAAAAATCGTGTATAGCCGGTCGCCTATACTATTTTTTTGAAAATTTTGAAAAAAAAAAGGAAAACCCGAGTATAGCCGAATGGTCATACTATCTCTTTTTAAAAAATTAAAAAAATCACGTATAGCCGGCCGGCTGTACTATTTCTTTGTTTAAAAATCCCAAAACCGAGTATAGCCGAACGGCTATACTATTTACTTTTAAAAATTGGAAAAATCGAGTATAGCCATACGGCTATACTATACATATATTTTTTAATTAAAAAAGGAGTAACCGATAAAAAGGAAGTATAGCCGATCGGCTGTACTATTATTTGTCAAAAAAATTAAAAAACCAATTATAGCCGAGCGGCTATACTAATTTATTTCTTAAAAAATTTAAAAAATCGAGTATCGCCGGTCGGCTATACTGCTTTTAAATAATTTTAAAAAATCGATTATAGCCGCCCGGCGATACTATTTCTTTTAAAAAAAATTCTAAAAACCGATTATAACTATTTCTTTTACAAAAAATTGGAAAAATCCGAGAAAGCTTTGAAACTGTGCTCTGAGCAAGCAACAGACTTATTGCCTGTTGCATATACCACCTTCGGTTTACTGGACTGTCTCTTCATGCTCAGTTCACCTAATATAGTTGAAGTTGATCAATTAAACTACCTGTGAGTAAATTTTGTTGTGATAATATAGTCTATCTTCTTCTTCTTTTTCTTCAGCTTTGGGGAGATGATGCTGGAAATTGGAAGTAATGGAAGGTTGACGAATACAGGAGCAACCTTGCAGAGCAAGCGAAGCAAAGTTATTCTTAGAGAAATCTAATCTACAATGATAGAGAAGTTGTTTCCGCCATTGCAGTTGAAGAAGAGATGAAGCTGGTACTTGAGGTTGCCATGCTTTGCACTAAGAGCAGACAATCTGATCGCCCATCCCATCCATCCAAGATACATTGATTTAGAGATTTTACCGGGTCAAAAAACTACAAGAAAAATAAACCCTACTTTTGAAGCAGCAGGATTTATGATTTTGGATGCAGATTACCAATTAGAACAAAACAAAACAAAAACAAAAATAGGATTTCTTATGTGCAGAAAATAGGTTTCCTTCTTGGGTTGGCCAGTTGTTGAATGTATCTCAATAACCAGATAACCAATTGTAAAAATGTACATATCAGAGTCAGCAATACAATACAAAGTCAGGTAGGACTGAGGATCCATTCACTTAATCGTAGTTAGTTCATTTCTGTCAAATGAGTTCCAATACCAAGTTTCTGGGTCTTGGAGAAAAATTGTTTGAAGGTAGGCGTACTCTTGAACAAGATTTCTCTTTGGCAAGTCATAGTTCGAGCTTCGAGTTACTGAACTGGCTCAGCATGATGGCCAAATCCATACCTTGTACCATTGTAGGCACAGCTGTCTCATAAGGACACTGCTGAGAAAATCCAACCTTCCCAGATTTTTGTACTTTCTTTATGCAGGTCTTGAACTTCTCATGGCATTTTATATCGGTCATACCTATAAAACCAATATATTATAGCAGAGGATGTTGTAAAACAAACAATGCTAATAACATGCCAATAAAAAAGAAAATAGTAAATTACTAGAATTTAAAAAAAAATATTCAACAACCAGCTACAAAAAGGAAAGGACAGACAACTGTATGTGCATGGTTCATGACGAACTGCAAACAAAACAGGAAGGACAACTGTTTTGGCATGATTCATGATGAACTGCCCAATCCTTGTATCATCTAAATTCGGTAATATATTTAATTCATGTTGCCCAAGTTGTCTGCCCTTTGTTAATTTATGGGTTTGGTAGTTAATCAAAACTCCAAGAAAAAAATGTTTATATCCGACTGTCACGATGCACCAAGATCAGACAACCAATATATCAACGTGTTGAGCCCTCTAGTTTAAACAACCTTTTCTTTACCCCGCCCTAGATAGAGGAGATGATGCTGTTATTGTTGTTAAATGAATGAATTGTTAACTAGAAACCAACTTGCTCTGTATATGAGTTATCTTATAGAGGAGCAGGCCTAGAATTCAACCAATTACATGTTAGTTTCCATTACATACTTTTTCTATTGACTGGCAAAATGAAACTAGAACCCTTTTGACACAACAAGGACACAAGTTTCTGAGAAATCATAACAAGGATCCAAAGCAAATGAAAATGTGGCTGCGATTTTTTCGAGTGAGTGAAATAAAAAGTTACCAACCATATTTTTACCAGGGCTGATGGCACATAAGAAATAAGCTATTGATGGTTTGTTACCCAATTCACTGCTACTTTCTAACAATCAAAAGTTTGATTCTTTTTCCCACCAGAGAATGCTACTTGTCAACCAAAATGCCAAACAGAAATGACATTTTGTTTCCTATTCATCTAATTCATCTAATCATCCAAAACCCAAGTGTCTAAAGCTTATTAAATCAGTGAAGTAACTGAAACAACCACACAAAATTGCAGCAAAGCAAAAGCCTACCAACAGAATCGCCAAAAACATGTTCTTTATACTTCAAGTTCCACCAAAATTAAAAAAGAAGATACCTTTTTTGCCAACACAATCGTCATGAATCTTGCAGCAAGCATCAAGATCATCGCAGGGCTTCTCCCCTGGGCAGCCGGTCCACCCTACTCCGCAGTACTTCCCGTACCGAATTCCAACAGCTAAAAGTTCACAAACAACAATATCAAAATAAATTATTAATTTAAGAATAAAATACAGAAAAAGAGTTGGATTTGAGAAAGTTATAGGAATTAAAGGATATAAAGCTTACAATTACAGTTCTCTGCTACGCAGATTCGGCTGCAGGTCACCTGCACATTCCAAAAGCCCAGTTTATTTTAAAAACAAAGTGAAAAAGAACAAATCCGAAGCTCCAAATAATATGGGCTCAATTTTTTTGTCCAATTTTGTGGGAAGAGATATTTACCTCGGAGTCATTGTTGGAGCAGCGGGCGACGGCGATGAGGGAGAAGATAACGACGGCAAATGCGGCGGCAAAACGTGTCGTACGACGGAGGCCGGCGTCTCGCGACATTGACATTGTCGCTCGCTGTTTTAGTTTTTGGGCTCAACGGGATTAACAGAAACTGAAGTCTTCGGCGCCTTCTTCCTCGAAGCGTTCCGTGTATTAATATTTGTCGTTTCTCTGCGTGTCTGTCTGTCGGTTCCTCATTCGCCCGAATGACGTTACTGGATTTTACTAAAGTGCCCTTCCCGGGTCGCAGCCAAATTGCCAATGGCGTAGTCAACAATAATACATAAATCCATTTTATTTTTTGGTGCAACTTAATTAATACTATATTTTTTTGTTATTTGCGTAGGCAGCTTTTAAAAGTCTATTTTTAAGTAAAAATAATTTTCGATAACTACGTTTAATTTTAGAATTTGCTATTCCTACTCCCAAAAAATCCATATGCACACATTTTTCTTATATAAACATATCATAAAGAACAAAAATTATACATAATGACTATTTTGAAGTGTCAATAATAAGTTTGTAAAATCACTTTTATACGCAGGCAGACCAAGCACATCGAACAAAAGGTGCAATAATTTGATGTAGCAAAATTTGTTGATGTGTAAAGAATCAACATTGTCTGCATAATTCTTGAGAAAAAAGTTCAAAAGATGAAGAATACTAGTGTAAATGTTTGTCTGAAACTGGAGACATGCAATGGCAGTGTGTACAATCGCAATGTGATTCCACGTATGTTTGATGGCCGAGCAAAGAAAAAAAGGCAATTGTTCCTTTCTCCATGGAAATTCGGCCAACCAAGTAATTTTGTTCGAGATTCTCTATCAATAAGGACCATAGCAACAAAATCATCAGATATAACATTTGAGATTTCATCAGAACCAGATTCTACCAGATACAAGAATCCCTTTTAGATTCTGACATGCTCATCTTGGCATAATCAGATGGCAATACCGATAATATCCGGCCGCACCATACATTTGGATTCGAGGGATTGATCAAAGCACAAGTAAAAGCTGTTGATTTCAAAGAGTGAGTGAGTCTAACAAAAATTGTGAAGTATTATCATCATATTCATGATTCCAAAAGAGATAACTAAAAAACATCCCATTCAAGTTACTTTCAAATACATTTGATTATTAAGGCTGTCAAACTTGCCCACCGATTTCTCAGCTTCAAAAATTTGTCTAGGAAAACAAAAAAATTGCAAGTACAGTACCCGCAGTTCAGATCCAGCAAATGACATGAGAGGCTTACACGTGCAATCCCTAGAAACATTTTATCAAATGGTTGCTCTCAAGGATAGTAACCAGTGAAGGTAAATCCCCTTCCCACAATCTCACCAGCACAATACCATGCAAAGCACTCCAGCCCAAACAAAGCAGCAATGCCAGCATCTTCAACCTTCAGGTCCTGCTTGTTCTTCCACAAATGCTTGACGTAATCAACTTCCTTCCAGAATGATTCGGTACGGCCAGGAATACTGTAGAATAAAAACTAAGTCAGATGAAGTAACATATATATAATATAAATGTGCATACAAATCATTACAGAAAGACATATTGGGTTATTACACAATGACTACTGCAATTAAAATGCACTTCCAATGAAAGTTCTAAGCTTGAATGAGTTTGTTGGGTATATGAAAGACTACATAAAAATAAATGTATGAAAAAGAGAGAGAAATTGTATCAAAAGCCTTCTTAGTGATGGGTTCTCAGGTCCCAAAATAAATCCGAGATTTGATGATACACACAACCAAACCATTGGATGCCCATGAACAAATTGCAATTCAAGCACGTATCGAAATAGTCGCTATAAAAACATATTGCCACATCCAGGATGTACAAAGAAAATTGACACTTGGATGCCCAGTACTAAACTATAAGCTACATTATCAACATAAAACCCACCAAGTATCTAGAGCACTTATGAACATAAAGAAAAGGACGAAAAGAAAAGAAACTTTAATTAGCTTTTCCAAAGAGCACTAATTTCTTTACAAAGCAGAGAAATTAAATGGAGGCAATAAGAACATGCAAGGCAATCTACATTCTTCTCCTTCAATTACAACAACTGTATCAACATCAATTCAAGCTTCAGAGCTAGAGAATGTTGCTTATTTAAAGCAGATAAATTACATAATAGAAAATAAAGGAAACTAATACCAAAAAAAATTTGCAATTACAAGTTGAAGAGAATAGTTTCTTTGGAGAATTTTCATGGTTTCAATCCTGATGTTGGGCAGAGTGGGTCTGAAATAATCGTATGCCATTATTGTGTGTAATGATAATGCCTGCTAAGATTTGTTACTCAACTCACTTATCTTGAGTTACGTTGTTTAGTTACTTACTATGCATTAATTCATTCAGGCCCTCTAGGTGGTAGGAAGGAGATTCAACTCACATAAATCTTGAAGAGCATGTAGTCAACATATATGGAACTTTCATTCACTCTGGTACTCCTACCAGAGAAGCCCAAGTTATAACTCAATTCAGTCCTTAGACAAAGAAGGTTAAGAAATATAACCTAGCAAGTCGAGTATAAAACAATTGCTTTGACAGCTCATTGCACTTCTCAACTGTTGGTGGATGCTGAATGTATTGCTTGTTCTGCTCTAACAAATTCTTGTAGTAGGTACTTCCATGCTTGGACACAAACTGTGTTGCTTGACAAGCCTTAGATTGCAACTGGCGCAACTTCGATGCCATCAATGCCCAAATCAATCCTAAGTTCAGAATATAATCAGTTAATTACCTTAAAACAAGTGAAAGAACTATAATTCAACAAGAACAGGTAATCTAGGCACAATTAAAAAGAAAAATTCATCAATTTGCACCATTCACAACAATGCCCCATAAAACACAAGACCATTCTTTATACCGGCACCGCAATCTCTTGCCCAATTTTTTTTCCCCAAATTTCTGAACCCTGCGTTTCATTTGCATCAAAATTAAAATTGCTTATGGGTATCAAGCCAAAACCCTACCCATCGAGATTCTCACATAATTAAATCAGCCGTAAACTTCATATGCTAAAAATAAAAATAAAAAAATTTGCTTCTTGGTCTAAAACCCATAGATTCACATGCTCCGATTTCCAAATCAAAGCATCACACAAAGGGGTCAGTCCAAAATCGCAAGATCTAAACAATCAAAAGAGGAAGCCTTGAGATCAATCAACAAGTTGCAACTGGAAGCAGAGAAAGCAAAATCTGAAGGACATTTTACCTTCGTCTTCGTAGTGTTCGATTGGAATGCAAAGCCGAAGAGAGAGAGTCTCAGACTGTCAGACTCCTTGTTTCTCTTGTGCTGCGCTGCGCGGACTGCGTGATGTGGTATAGAGGGAGCTCTCTCGTTTTGGGATCAGAGAGGTTTTACCTGTTGGGCTTTCCACTCATTTTCAATCGGGGGTAGTTTCGGAATTTCAGTATGAATTGTAGGCTTTCATTTTTGCTATCTCAAGCTGGCCCAAAAGAAAATCAATTAATTTTCGTCGGCCCACTATTATTCTCAGCCTGCATGAGATCCAATAAATTTTGTAGGCCCACTAAAAAAGCCCGTCAAGAAACGAAAGAAGACTTCCATCTCCAAGTTTAACTCAGACGTAGCTCGCTTTTTTTTTTTATGGGAAATTAATGCATGAAATATATTATTATTTTATTTATTTTAACATGGAATGCCCCTTTTTTTAAATACAAATTTATAAATAAATCCAATCCTAGACATGTATTTATAAAAAAACCCAAACACTGTTTAAACATAGAAATACACCCAAATCAACCCCAAAATCAACAATTGTATATTTTTTGGGTGTGTTTATAAATGGGTTTTGAGTGTGTGTAATAATGGATTTTGGGTGTGTTTATAAAGTGTTTTGGGTGTTGGGTTTTTTTATAATTTCAGCCTCCATTTTGGGTGTTTTAGTGAAACTCCCTTTTTTAAAAGGGTATAATACCTTTCCGTGTTCTTGGAATGAGAATTGAAGAAAGACTTTCCACCATGGTCAAACTAACTCTCCCGACAACTTGTTCCTCTACTTGCCCAATGAAAATGAACCTTCCATCAATAGAGTGAAAGGATTTTTTTTTAATTTTAGCATCACATCACATGAGAGTGATTTGATGACATCCGTCTACTCTCAACCAATGGATCGTATTCGTAGAAGAACACAATATTCATATAAGAAATTAACATATTTGGAAATTTCTAATATGTTAATTAACACAAGATTAGTCTCTTTACACGCACTTTTGCGCTTGTGAAAGGCGTTTTTTTTTATATAAAAAATTTAAATTTATTTTAGAATTAAAAAGATAATGGGTAGTTGTGTTCCATAAAAATATGATCCATTATCTGATTTTTATTTTTATTTTTAATTTTTTAAAATAATATGAAAAAGTGTGAATTTACCATATTATCCTCATTTAATTAATAACTTCAATTCTTAATGTTTGCATTAATCAATGGCATTTTCTAGTATTTTGAATGTTTTACCATTCTTTGCATTTTACTCTATATATGTAGATAATGAAGCTTAATAATCATATTATATTGCATGCTAAATGACAGAAGCATGGCCGGCTAAACCCTAATGGCCCAATGCTCCTATCTGACATATATAAATCTCATATTCAAATTCAAGGTTATTTGTGTTTATAACTGGATTTATTTCCCATTACAACCCACATAAAACCAAGTGATCTGACAAGGCATCCTTGATGATTTTATCCTAAATAATTCACGCGGTAGGCTGAAAAGATTTTACGGTCAACATTTTGCTAATGTTTGTAATTGTACGCAGTATCAGTACACAAAATCCTAATTAAAGTCGTGTTAGTTGAAAAACCAAAATTTTATGCCAACCTTCTACACTCGTATAGGTCTAAAAATAAAAAATTCCAGTATCGATAACTTATATTATTGCGATTTGAATCATTTGATTGGGATCATTGTGGACCCCTGCTCCATATTGCTCCATATGGAAATTGGCAGCGACCATCACGCCACTGAAAGCTTTGCACTTTCCAGCATATCATCGAGACTTCATGGAGCCTGTTCAAACTTCATGCCAAGGCCAAAAATCAAATGGAGTAGTTGGCCAAATTTGTTATTTTATGCATCTCTACGTGCTTACTTGGCAGCTGATG